TTCATCGACTCCTCAGCAGTACGCATCAACTACCCAACCCTGAACCTTCAAGCTCCGCAGCCATCACGTTACCATTAAACGCGATCTCCACCCAATACTGTTAATGAGTAACTGTCTTCACCTCCAACTTGGTTGGCTCCACCAGTTACGATTTCTCATTAGAACTTCGGGAATCTTATCTCGAAGCAAGTCACTGGTGATCACTGGACAGTAATTCAATTTTGGAGGGTAATGTGCTAGCCACGGAGCCTGAAGGTCATAGGCTCATCCTTTATGGGGGCGTAGGTGCGCACTGCTAAAGGTCGCATACTAGGATGAAGCAGCTGTTCAGTGTTCCCAGGTTTTTAATGTTTCTTCAACCGATGTCAGTCCATGATGAGTATCAGCCCAAAATGAGTAAATAAATCTCCTCAAACCTTCAAAATTAAGCCTTGTAATGGGTTTACCAAAGCTTTTAGAAGACAGAGAACTGTATTCTATGAATAAGTGACAATTCTGATTATTGTAGGCCACATTTAGTCACAATTCCTAGTAATAACTCTTCATCCAGGTTGGCTTTTCATTTCATGCTGCTGGAATGTTTTCTTCATGGTAATTTAACCTTATTTTGTTCATTATCATAGGTATAAAGATGCTGTTGTAATCGCCTTGTTAAAATCACGGCTAGTACAATTTTACAAGCATCCGTTACACATTAATATTCTATGTTTTCCAAATCATACGGAGGCCACATTACCCTCTGGATAGTGTGTCGCAGTATCTCAGGATAGCTTTTCGTTAACTTCATTCTGTTTGTAGCATTTTATAACTATACTTTGATTTCGTGAATGAATATTTACTCTCAGAGTTGATTCAGCTATCAAGTCAGAACATGGCTCTTCGTTGAAACTTTCCCAGTGTTGAGAGGTCAAAATCTATGATGCAGCAAACGTGCATATTTGACCAATCTCATGTGGTTCCTATCTTTTTGTTTGTTTTGTAAAGGAACCTGTTTTCAAGTCAGTCTTTTTATTACAACTACAACTTTACATAGAAACTAGATTATGAATCTAAAAGCTAAGATTGATTATTTGTGATTCACTAGCAGTACCATGGACCGCAAGGTCGACAAGAAAAACACGACGTTTTACTAGAGGAACAATGAGATTGTAAAGTGTTACGGTAATTCATCTTATCCAGTAACCTACTAGTAATCTTTTACAGATATTTGTCAAACTTACTCTCATCAACAGGGCAGATAACTGATGCATACACAGTCAAGGAACTAGTTTCCAGATATTATCGATTTACTATCGAATTGCTTTAAACTGCATTTTTGACACTAAAAAGAAATCGATATTTCATCATCCCCTTTAACAAGTTAAGCATAGCTAAACAATACACTTCACAAAGAGTAGCATTATGAAAAATACATAGACTTAAAAAGGCTTCTATGAAAACTTTATGAAACATACTGCTAACAGACATGAATCAGCAGTCGCAGACCACCAACGCCAATTAGTAGTAGTACTTCAGTGATTTGAACGATTTGGCCATCTAAACGAAATCAGTTTGGATATATTACCGATGAGTTTAGCTGAAAACGAGCGAAACAGTCATCCAGTGTTCAGATCGCCTTAATCTATCTAAAAAGCAATACTACTCGGTATGAGTGGTCTAAAACTACTCATGTCAACCAGTATTACGTTTCATGCTAACAATCTTGGCTCTAGTTTTAGCATGGATCAGAACAAATAAAGTGATCTGAATATTTTGGTTTCTACAGGAATCTACTGTGAGACTTTGCACCACTAAATGTGTAGTCTGCATACATCCGATTTAATTGAAAAACATCTAATAATGCACAGAAGTGGATCGGATTTAGTTGATTTGTATCCTAACAACAAAAAACATAATGCACAGGTCACCGTGAATTACGTTTGCTTTAAACAGGCAATTTATTCAACCATCACAGCAATAAAGTGGAATGTAATTACTTTTATTCAGATTACTTCAGAAAATCTTCATCTCATTGACGAAATTTAGAAATGACAGCCAATTTGAACCAGGTCTACTTTTACATGTGAATCGGATTTTTTGTGTCTTTGTACGTACAATAAACAAATCTCTTCGAAGGACATTCCAGAAATGTAGACTGTATATCATAAACATCAGACTTCATCTAGTTTAAGCTGTTACCCTGAAATCCATGCGGCCATATTAAAACCGTCTTGTTCGAAAAGGGATCATACCAGTGAAAAAGCATCTCTGATAGTGTTGCTCAGTGTTGAGACGCTTCGGGATATCTTTCAAGGCTGAATTTTGGCTCATTTTTTTGCCAACATGCATAACACTAGTGATGCGATGATCTTCATTCTGGTATACTGTATACAAAGCGATCTTTCTTGAAAAATAACGCGTTCGTATCTCTTAGGGGACATAGACCCTCTGGAGGTTTTAGAAGCGCCCTTCTGAGGAGTGTTAAAAAACACGAAGCCTAAATCCCTGGCTTCCTATCAATCATTTTCAATTATCGATCACATTCCTCACCATAGTCCTCTCATCACACACAGAGAACAAACTAAACGGGAAGTAATATTTGTCCATGTCTCAGGCTTCACTTTCAGCTTAAACTGGTGCATTTTCATCCTCTACCATCGTCTTCCAACCAAAAATACTCCCAGGTAATTTAATGTTGGTTCAAATCTGAAAAACAGAAATGCGTTTGATACTCAAATAAGTGTGAATATCCTTTCTCTAGTCATCAATCTTTTGAATGTACTGCATAACTTTGTCAATAGACTTGGAGAAATATGGTATGAAACTGGTTATTATTATTATTTTACGTGAAGTCAATCAAGAAGATATTTGCTTAGTAACGACATCTCCAACTGTAGCGTTGAGATAAAGATGTTCAAGTGTACGTCAAGATAAGTCTTTTGAGAATTTGCAGACATACCTTGCATCTGAATATGATTTATTATGCAAATAACATGAAGAGTTTTCTCCGAGATGCCTTTCTTAAAAATGGGATTAAGATGATGTAAGTGTCTAGGCCTATCACTTTACTTTCCTCACTCTGTTAAACAGATGACTATAGTTCGACTGCTGTTGGTGCGTGACTATTGATTTGTTTCACGGATTTAAACAAACAGGAGTATGGAAACTGTTGAATTTCAATCAAATAGCTGGATGCTAATGCCTAACGGTCCTAGAGCTTGATCCTTCACGTATTACTGTGGGTCTTATACTAGGACGAAACAGTTATCCGGTGTTACAAGATTTTTTAAGGTTCTGGAATGGATGTCGCTTTAAGATGAATCATAAGATCACATGTCTTTATCCGCCTTACTTCCTCTTCTTCCTATATCATCAGGTTTCACAACTTGTCATCTAATTATTATTTTTATATCTTTTTCTTTCTGATTGTCAACTCCCTTTTTAATTATGCTGATGTGAAATATGACAAGTTTCGCAGTTCACACATCGGTTGTCTTCGTCTTCATGTTCTTCTATGCATTTACCACTAGTATGAAGCCAAACTTAAATCAACTTGGATTTCACTGCCATTTATTGTCCTCTGTATAAAACACAAAGTTTACATATTAAACGTATCGCAAATAACTGAGTGAGTTGAAAGGCCACTCCAGCAACCAAAGAAGTAACCAATTAGTTTTTCTTATTTTATGAACGGCTACCTATTTTAAGTGCAGGGAATAACAAAACTTAAGTGGTTATTTCAGTGGATGTTAGAATGACCTTTAGAGTCATAGCAGAAAATTTTGTTGATGATTTCTTTGATGAACAGTTTTTCACTATTCTTTTCAGTTCTAATTAGTGATCAATTTATTATTATTTTTTCTTTTTACCTACCAGAGGCTATACAGACTTCAAGAATCGCGACAGGACATGATTGTGTGTATTTTGGACAACGCATCAGTTGGCCAGTTAGTCGGCCATTGGATGATAAAGATGTGCTAATTCTGAAGGCTTATCATATAAAGAAAGGATTACTGGATAAGTAAGTGGCTTTTGTGATGAAATCACCACATAAGTCCTTTTTCCTGTTCAGTTGTGTCTGTTCCGATTGAAATATTTAAAATTTACAGTAAAATTAGAGAAATCACGTAATATAACACTTGATGTCTACAGAGACCAGTTGAAGTGAGAAGGAACTAGTGTTAACGTAATCATTTGCAACAGGCGACTACATGTCATAAGCTTTCTACGAAGGTTGTAGACTATTTTATTAATTTCCGTTAAACATTTAAGCATTTGAGTAAACCTTTGGAGGCATCACTTCCAGTCACATCAGTACAAGTAGTCATACGGCCTAAATGATTTGACTGTTAAAAAGCTAATGAACATGGTACTTTTCAAATATTCCAATGGTCAACTACTAAAACTTTATTAAAACTCTAAAAATACATAAAATCTATAGATATCTAAATGAAGTTGGGATCTGATGGTATTAAAAAAATGATAACATGTCTGTAGTTTTATAACGTGACTTATACCAAGTATTATTAGATCAGTTTAAATTCAAATCACCCGGTATCAAGTTCAGGTTAGAAGAAAAAACGCATAACGGCAAACTGGTTTTACATGATTGTCTTATTAAGTGGAAAGAAAATGAACATTTAGGTATGACCATTTTTAGGAAAACAAAACATTCGAACTAATATATAGATTTCAGTTCATCGTGTCTCATCACTGTGAAGGTTTCTGTTGCCTCCAGTTTTTTAAGGAGAGCACAGACTGTTATAACTGATGAAAGCAAAAGGGTTAAGGAATTAAAATATGTGAAGAAGATACCTAAAATAAATAATTGTCATTCGTAAAATAGAAAATAACATTAAATTAGGTCGTAGAACTAATCCTAAACCATGGGCTACAACAGTAGTTATCCCATACAGATCAGACATATTGGATGAAATTAGGAAAGTGCTTAACAAATACAATAATAGAGTGTTCTACAGAACATCAAACATGTTACAGAGCATCTTAGTTCATTTGAAGGACGTGATTCCTCTAGATTCACAATTTAATGGTGTTTATAAAATAAAATGTTCAGACTGAGGTGTAACATGCACAAGACAAACTTCCCGTGAAATTCGTATTGGAAAAATGAACATTGAAGAGCTTCCATTGGACCCTATAGAAACACTTCAGCCATAGCTGTAATTTCAGGTCACAGGGTCGATTTTGATAATATCGAAATTATTTAGAAAGGCTTTAGAAATTATATAAAACGTCTCTTAGCAGAATCTCTTCAGATCAAGTGAAATCAAAATCTGTATTCGTCGTGGTGACTGGCAGTAAGATCGACTAGGCGCATCTGGTCCTGTCTTGGACACATCAGCTAAATATGTGTGGCCCCAGTTAGTAGGGTTATTCCCATTGAGATTCAAACTTAGTACCCAACGCTACTACTTGATTCCCTTCACTGTATCGCCTGGAGGGAATCTACGTTCAGTGTGGTTGTTAAGTTTCCCTTTTTCATTCCTACTCTGTTTTCTCCACTAAGTTACAGGTGCCTGTTAGAATGTCGCACAATTCACTCCTCCTCCCTCACCCACCTATGATGTAAAAAGAAAGTGAAGAGAGTTGATTTCATAGACATATAGGAAGATGAAAATATATAACAGATCATAGTTACTGGAATTTCAAAACCCCCTAAGAAGAGGTGGAAATGTCTACTCATTACTTTCTAGTTTACAATGCTTCTTCAACTATCCTCACGCTTATCGGCACCACTTCAATTTTTTCTCATAAAGTCTACAGAATCCAACTGTAGATAAAAGTTACCTGTTACTGAGAAGGTAATATGGTACGTGAAACAGACGCTGAAGTCTATGATTAATTTGATAGGCTTCCATCGAAATAAGGATATTTAATCGTCCTAAATCATAAAAAGTCATTGAAACGTGATCGGTTAACCAAAGAAAGAATTTGTTAGTATTTCTTTTGTATCTGATTGTAACAGTAATACCATTTATTAGTGTTTGTCACCGAAGGATAACGAATTTCGTATTGAGTAGTACCAGTTGTTAACCGGATTCTACTCACCATTTTGCAGTGCATCCGCTAAGCTAGGAAACTCACCATCGTGGTATACTTTCCTTCGTGTTATTCAACTTGAAGGTTTATCAGGATTTATTTACTTAAAGTTGGCATTCATCACTGACTGATTTCAGTTGGCTAACCAGATATTTCGTCTTATAATGGGATTCCTTAGCAGAATACACCTTCAGTTTCCTTGGACAGTACGTCACCACTGAACCATTAGGTTCAGCTTTATTGGTTCACATTCTCCTACTTCTGTCAGTTCGTGATATATCCCTAACTTTATCCAACAGCGCTGTTGAGTACCTGTTTTCACCCCTAGACTTGGTTGGGCCTGCCGATCACGGATGTTAGTTGGTAGGATGCAGTTAACAGAAGGCCTAATTCAACCTAGGTTTCATGTCTGTTGAAATTTATCAACAGGGGATATCTACAACCTCTAGGGAACTGGTGTTCCAGCCATCTATCATCAGTCAAGGAGTACCACAAACATGAACCCTACTGCTAGGCAACGGCATAACAGTATGTTTCAGAGAACCAAGTGAACTTTAAGCTAAAAATCAGCTTTTTCTACCATTCAAAATCAGTAAGTTAACCCTTTTAATCTAAGGAGTACTGGAAGACACTAATTACCTCCCTCAGCGTCGAAATAATGACCTAGTAGGTTTATGTAGATAATGGAAGTTTGATTTTAGGTTAAATAGAAATTTTGTAGAAAACATACTTATTTTGTATGCTTTTTTTTGCGATTATCTGCTGGTCGGTATATATTCAAAGGCAGTGAAAACCATAACCATATCCTTATTTATAGCTAAATTGCGATTTATCTCATTTTCTCTTTTTCAGTTTATTAGGTTCTCTGTCAATCAATCTATATCCATTGACTAGAGATGTGCATTCATCGTTTCAAGAGAATCTTGTGGATAGTTCATGTCATCCAACTGGTGTAAGTTCTACTGAGATATCTGTATTATCATGATCTTTAAACTGTTGAAACCAAAATTTCTTGATAAGTTGATGAATTCAACTTAAACTAGTATAGACGTTTAGCTAAACTAGTTGTTTGATAGCCTACGATACTACACAATCGTCTTGACTGAAGTACGTGGAATGTATTCAGAAACCAAGACATATTGCTTGAAAATTTATTTCTTAAACCAATGAAACTGGTCTCCATCTTTATGATATTCTTTATATATTTTTAAGCTGGAGGTAAAAGAAGACCAGAAATACAGTAGGATTTGAGCTGTTTTCTTTTGAGTTACTGAACTTATGCTCCACTGGCTGAATCATATGACTCTACCCTGTGTTTCTTTTACTTTATTCATGGAGAGTTTTTCACCATTGATAAGGTTGGATATGCAAGCTAGTCTAAGCAACAAAATTTCCAGATCTATCAATATTTCTATTTCAGTATACACGTTAATCGTAATAAAAATATTTATAGTGTATAGAAATTATTACAGTTTTAGGTGCAACAAGGGTTTGTCTTTTTGACTATTTACTTATTTCTATCAGTAATAGTGACAAAACTAGCAGTCATCAATATGGAACCTTTGAGGTAGTAATATCTCTTGAGAACGATTTCAAATGGTTTTGCACACTTTATAAGTTAATCAATATACCTTTCAATATTCAGATGAGTTAGGTATACGAAAGATCCAACTTACTGATATGAACAGTTGTAGACCACTCACATTGATCAGTAGTGCTCAATAACCAGATCAAGGTGATCTAAACACCGTTTGGGGCTGATCTCATCAGCGGTGAGCTCGTTCATCTTGATCTGGCTGGCGAACACTGTTAATCAATGTGAGTAGTATACCACTAGTCATGTCAATTAGTAGTATATTCAGTACAGCCCTCATGCTTGTAGTCTTAACGCCTATCACGATGTGAAACAGGTTACATAAGATTTGGTTTCTATAGAAAACTATTGTGAGATTTCTCATCGTGAACCCTGTGTTTATCAAACAGCTAGTCAGTAATGCACAGTTTCTTGAATGTTGAATTTCCCTTGTTAGTGCATTTCTATCAGTCACATGGTAGCACTTATCAGTAGATGATAAGTGAACTCGTCCGTCGCTTAATCCTTCTTGTCAAAGATTCAACCTGGGTCTTTATTCTTTATCAAGAGTATATAGTGCATGTTGATACTTTAAAAAAACAATTTTTATCGAACAATTTTCGTAGAACATTATAGCACCTGTTGTGTGTCAGGAGAATACCCAGGTATGGCTAATACCTAGTGATTATCAAACATGTTATCCTTAAAACACCGTTCAGTAGTCTGTCTGCAGTAAAAGACTTCACTTTATCATCATAAGAGTTGACGAGTGATACCATCTTTGACAAACTATATATTATGTGGAATTTTATTACGTTTTAATCAGTGTGGAATAAGCCTTTCTGTTCACTTATTATCATACAATCTTGGTCTGGAAAAACGAAGTGAATTGACAGAAGTAGGAATTATGGACCACCGGATTTCGATCCACTGGCTCAATAGAAACGTGCTGGTCACGCGACCTGAACGTCCTGGGTCCAATCCCTGGTAGGTTCATGGTTGTGCACTGCTTAGAAGCCCATACTACGACAAAGCAGCTGTCCAGTGCTCCCAGATTTCTAATGTTCTTCCTTTCTGTTTATCAGCACACATAAGTTGCATTTCTAGCTCCCATGGAATTTTAATGGTACAATAACACATCAAAGTACTATACTCGATGTGAAGTGAAGGACTGTAATAAGACTCTGATATAATAACGTTGCTGAAGGCAATAGGATATTTGAACTGAATATGACAAGAGTTGTTCATTGAGACACAAAACATCAGAAGACAGAGACTAGTTTGTTAGTGCAAGAACGATGTTGTTCGACAAACATACATCATACACCTACACTTTTCACGAACATAAAAATTCTCCAAGTCAGAGGTAAAATAACCTATCCTAATAGGCCGCCAGAAGTAAGAAATTACCCAGTAAGATTTATCTTGACCACACAGCGGCGGAGACCAAAATTTCTACATCATCGACTAATGCCTCAAAATAATGACTTGTAATTCGGCCTCTACCTACCAGTATGGAAAATGAGAATATAGTAGGTTAGTAGATGTGGACTGATTTAACAATGAAACAACAGATTACTGTGGAAAAGTTACTTTTTCAAACTTTTGATACAGCCTTATTATCTGGATGACTATCCTAGATACCTGTGGTTTAACAGTCTCCTATTATTGGTACTAGGTGATGATTGAGGGTGAGTCGAAAATCTGGGTCACGACAGGATTAAAAGCAGCAGCCTCCGGTAACCTTAGCATAGTTCACTCAGTGGCTACATGAAAATAAGGAACACTCAAAAGCAGGATAGAAATTCAGGCAACTATGTTAATTGTTCCTCACGCATTTGACCTGCTTATTTGTATGTTAATAACAGAACTTTTAGTCTTAGAGACAAGTAAATCGTCATTGAACCAACAGGCAGGGATTCAGCAGGCCATATACCCCAGCTTCCAGCAGTTAGTTTACCGTATTACAACAAAACAGCTTTCCAGTGTTTCCTTGTGGTTGAAGATACCGGTTTGAAATGAACTGCTCCCCCCAAAAGGTAAAACTATCCCATGAGTTCCTCTGTACTAACAGCCTCCATGAAATAAAAATATTCTGAACAGTTCATCTCATGTATGCGTAAATTTTTTTGTTCACGATACTATTGAACACCTCAGCTGTGTAAGGGTGAGAAACGAGTGTCGTAAACTCATGTCACTGGAATATAACCAGTTAAACCGGTGCTAATCTGCACAGTGTAAGTTTGTCTACTGATAGGAACCAGTAGTATATTCAACAGGAAATTTTTTTACTTTCCAACTATAATCTATAGCTTCGGCAAAAAAATATCGACAAAAAAACTGCATACACTCTCAATACAGTGCTTAAGAGAGAAGAGAATGGAAACCGGTCTAACTAAACTTTATATCAATAAATAGTAAACGTGTTATGATTTGTTCAGTCGAATAATTCTCATACTTTCCCTTTGTTATTTACATCAACCCAAAAAAACAGATAATACTGTTATTCGAACTCCGTTATCAATCACCGGACAGTACAGAAGGCGATCTGGATACTGATTTGATAAACTATCCATTGGCAGATAAAGACTATGGACTGGAGCATGCTGAATATGAAATCAATGCGGACCAACCACCAACTCTCAAGTGAGTAGCGTTTTATTGATGTTTCACATTGATGAATCAGACAGCTGATGTGTATTCTCTGTCGTCAGAATGAAGATATTGACATGAGGTTAGGATAAACCTTATCCGTCTATTATGTCCTTAAACGCCACCTCTACAGGAAACAATAGGATTCGATTCTGTATTTACTGTATTATGCATACATATATTAGATTCTCAGTTGCATAAGTCAACTTCTGAGTAGCAGTCGAAGCCATGCTCCTGAATCACAGTGGTGTAACTTTGTCACTGAGTTTAATGAAATGGCATCTTGATGTATCAGAATTTTACATGTCTGTTGATGAAATTCATTGAAATATACACAAATTAGGTCAAGCACTTCTTTTCAATGACCAGTAAACGGTTAACATCAACTTCAACTGGCAATAATGTACAATAACTTCACTTCTTTGTACTTGCAGTAATGATAAACGGTGTCTAGCAGTGGAATCTAGAACACGAGTTTTGTCCTATTCGGGACTCATCAACTGAACGTACCTGCCTACCAGTGAGCGATGTCGTTCTCGAAAAGACCCGACCTCTGGACCGACAGTTTTAAACGCCAGAGGGTTATCCACCAGACCACCAAGTTGTGATAGCTATTTCTTGTGCGACAGGTATAGTTTTCATGTTATTGTTCTCTTTATCCCGTCGTCGACTGGACCAAACTGATCGGCCTCTATTGGCATATGGGATCCTATGCGGATGCCTCGATATCGCCTATCGTTTCGATTTTATTGTAATGATCGAAAGTGGTCAGTAGTGGAATACAGGACGTGCACTCCCCGGATCCCATTGCTAACCACTGACCATCTCTAAAGTGACATTATTTTCTCTACGGTTGCAAATATGCCTTGCTGACAAGTCCCAACAAGCACGAAAAACCAGGGCAAGCAGGAATTCCTACTCACATGTCTCTAATCAGCTCACAACTATTAAAACGTATCACGATATTGATTCGTAAATTGGAATTTAGACAGTTAGCTTTTCTAGAGGACTGTCATTTTCACATCCACGTGGTGGAAAGTTATCATCCCAGTAAGCAGAAAACAGGTTAGACACAATTCTATGAGTAACATCAGGGTTCTTGCTTACTTTACCTGGTTATAAGGCTTACTGGAACACCTGTTCCCTCTTAAAAACTCAATCGATTATCACAGACGCATATGTAACATAGGCAGCATCCATGTTGTTTCAGCTTTAAGGTACTTTTCGTCATCGCTATTATTATACACATCGCATACTTCAGCACACTTTCTATTCATCAATCATCCACCATTTAGTTCTTCTAACTTGTTCAAAATCCATTGAATTCCTTGTCTCTGGAATATTTGTGCGATATATTCTTTGTTTTATTCATTTATTGGTGATCTTAATGTTGTTTCGATTAGTTTAAATGAAAATCATTTTTCCATCACTTTTAAAGTAAGAGAACACACAAGTTACCTTGACCTTGATAAGATAGTTCATTTTGGTCTTGATTCAATGCTCAACTATCAAACTGACTGTATGCTATTATTATTGTAATTTATTATTTATTATTATTACCGTTGACAAAATTGCTTCAAAAGTGACCTTGACTACAATTTGTACTTATATTCATTTAAGGTATTTTATGATAGCATTTTATACTTCGCTTACACTGCCTATCATTCAATATAAAATAAACTCTTCAATATTCAATTGAAATTGATACTTGACAGAAATTTAAAAGTGATCCCCAATCTCAATCTTAATACACAATACTGTTTATTGATTAGTGTGTGTGTGTGCCTGAGTGTTTGTTAATAGTTGTGTTGTACTCCGTTATGCATACATAACACATGAGAGTGATTAATACGGTTTAGTACGAATTCATCGTCTAAAGAATGCTTGTGATATGATATAAACAGTTACTACAGCAACAAACCATATATATATATATATATATATATATATATATATATATATATATATATATATATATATATAAGGAAGGCGTCTACAGTCAAATGAACTGCATTTCTGGAAGCTGTAGAGGTGGAAGCAAGTCAGGAAAAGTTTTTGGTAGACGTCAGATAACTCAGTGTGCACCCCTTTTCTCACCACACAAGAAATTAGTCTCCGTGGTACTGATGGCTTTCTTTGTTGCACATCGCCTTAATCATCATAGTTACTGAACCCCTCAGTTCAATTTAGCCCAGAGTGAACTCCAAATATTAACTGATAAAGCTCATCATCCTTTGTTGAATTCACCACACTGTCTATCTGTTTTTATTTGACTGTCTCATATGATTACTGTGAACATACGATTGCTTGACAAATCCACTCGCTGTTTAGGCAACTTTTAGGAAATAAGGATGTGTACTACTGAAAACAGCATGAGTAGTTTGAAACCACCGATGGCTATTTTGGTCGTTTGATGACAAGCCCATCAGTGATATTTAGTAGTATGTTTCATTGGTTCATGAAATGATTGTGCCAAAAATCACATATTGTGATCCTGGCTGAGTGCTTTCCAACAGGAAGCCAGATGATACCACAGTTAGGGAGTTGAAAAACCACTCAACTGAGAGAAAAGTCAAAATGAAGCGTGCAATTTTCAAGTTGGTCATCCTATCTGTTGTTCATTTAGTTTTACGTTATTTCTCACTTCCCCATTTTTGAACCCTGCTCAACTATCCTGTTCCTTATTTCAGCTGCAACTGATGAAAAACAACCATTATCGTTACACATAGCCTCACTTACAGCATAATCAACTGGAAAAGCTAAATGGGTTGCTTATCATAGTGAAAGAACACCTCGGAAATCCGAATCACTACAATTTTGGAATATGTTAGAATTATCATATGTACTGAATCAAACTGACTGAGCTTTGCTAGTTTAGAGGCTTCTTTGCGGTTGCTTCGATATTGTCTCAAGTACCATTATAGTGTAACATTCTTGGTGGTTGCTTGCAGGGGAATGCAGAAAGCGCTTTCCGTTGTGTATTAGACTCGTAACTTGGGTGTATACCTGAATCCCCGTAACATTTGCAATAAAAGGTGTCAATGTGTTACTTCACCGTTAATTGGTTCACTAACGAAAATGAAAGTTGCATAGTTGATTCATTAAGCTTCTAGGATAAAATGCAACATTTAACGAACAGTATAGCGCTATAAACATATTACTTCACTAGCATAAAGTGTCGTACTTGAACTGATATTGTGATGCCAAATCATGCACTAGTCTCGAAACTGAAAATAATAAATGACACAATCTCATCACCCTTCACATCCACGACAACTATATCTCACAATTGTATGCCTAAATAGGGTGTTCTCTGTTGGCATCTGAAATTTTTGTCGAACAGAAAAGAAAACTTCGTTTACGAAGCCGTTACGACAGACGAAACGTATCACTTTGCCCTAGTACAATTAATAAAGGGAAGCCGCAAGCATCAGTAAATAGCAAACAATTTCTGTTGCACAAGAGGTGGTTGTTTCATGAGTTAATAGTCCAGTGCATAACGCTGTGGGGTTTAAATAGGTGGGTGCTGGGTATACGTACCAGTGGGAACATTGTCAGTCTCTGAGATGCAGGTATATCCAGTTGGCGAGTTCAAAATAGAACGAAATGCGTAGTCTGAATTCCACTACTAGTCACCACTCAGCTAAATAGGATAAACGCTGACCTGTATATCTATACTTTGAAAAATCCACATCGTTACATGTGGACAAGTTGGTAAATGATATCAGAAGCTTTTTAAGAAGCCTAGACATGTGGCCACCTTATTCTCATAACCAGATTGTGTATCGATATCAACAAGTTATGAAGAACAAGTTGGTATCTAAAAAACAAAAAAACAAGTGTCGATTATTATTAAGTTCTCATATTGTAGTGGGCGCTGCTGGTCACAATGGATATAAGTAGTACATGTTGAGAGGGCTGCAGAAATCATAGGCAATAATTATACAGTGACTTTGAAAGCCACCATAGAAAATACTGATATCAACAGTTAGATTTCTTCAATCCGATTGGAAAGGCAGCCTTTTTAATAAAATGCTGATCTCTGCTTACTGATCCGCAGTAGTTGTTAGGATGGCCTTTAATGTCACTCTGTAGGAAACGAGAAGACTGAAATACAGGAAGGACATCTTGTGCAGTAGCCATCAAATATTGTACACTTTCCACCAAGACAGTCATTTGCAAAGTGTCCTTCATTTTCTCTTCTGCTTATATCTTGATTTGCTCTTGATACGCCCATATTGTCTCTTGCGTTTCTCTGGGTAGAATCTTCACCCATTGCTGGTAATCGCCTATGTTTTCTGCCGCCCTCTCGACATATACTACTTATATCCATTTTGATCAGCAGCGTCCACTACAATATGAAAGACTGTTAATTTCCCTCCTTAAAAACACCTGATAACATTACTTGATTGAATCCTTGAAGTACACCCATACTTTTGGTGCTGAATGCTGGCAGTAGACCTACAAGAAGCCCTGTGCAATCTAGTCTTCATGCTTGTCGAGGATAATCAGTAGGGGGTGTATCTACAAACATGAGATAACTGGTGTTCTCTTGATGGTTCGAGTCCGCGTTACAGGATGGTAAAGTTTCTGACTTCCTGCCAGCTGGCTTCTAACATCTAACACTAGAATATGCTGCAAAGCACTTTCACGTCAGTTAGTGGTCAAATCGCTAACTGAATAGATGGACTTCAATCAGCGATGACCATCCCAGAATAGATGGGAAGGTTGGTTACTCCGTGGTGACCAACTCGTGTTTACTAGTGCTTACCTACCTCAGGTATTTCACCCTTATAGATTTTGGTTTTATTCACCTATCTTTGCTCGCTTTCCTAATTGTCTAAATAACAACGGTGGTCTGTAAAACACATGACTTTCGACAAAAAACATGTAAAGAAAAAAAGCTAAGCGGGAACGGGGTTCCAAAAAATGATTGACTTCATCCGACTTATTAAACAAAGAGTAATATGACTATAAACTACTCATGAGAACGTAATTATCCTAGTTTCACTTTTCATCTATGTTCATCGGGTACACTTTCAAATACTAAACATGTTCTATCATTTCAACAAGTTGCAAAGAACAAACGAAAATGTGGTAACTCAACAGTTTCGCTAAATTTCAAATATTTCCTTATTGGAATAGACGTTAAAAAATAGGTGAAATAACGTTTTAACAATTCAGATTCACTTTACTTCCTTTATTTTATAACAATAATCTTTTGAATAAAGTATAAATGTTATGGTCTTAATCACCGTTATTCATGGCTTACTTAATGATGCCTGTGACTGGTATTCACTTTCTATTTTCAGTTCATATGTTGATATAGAGGAAGATTTGAATCAGGTGATTGATCGAGAACTTGGTCTTGTGGAAGATGAAGCATGGGAACGAGACAGCCATTTTTCTGCTCCTGAGAGAAGGTAAGGAATATGTTTTCAGAACTGTCGATGCAAGCAGTTCTCTTGTTTTCCGTTATTAGGGAAGATATACATTTACCTGTTGTAAAGTTGATACGACACTGTGATTATGTTGCTGTTCACCTACCTCCTGCTGGATTCTGATGGTGTTAATCAGTCACTACGAAGACGAAAATCGGCCAGTATTTTATCCGATGAGTCCTAAAGCCGTGTGGTAACTCCACGAAGTCTCTAACTGTCGATCTGAGCTATGTAGGAAGATAATAACGGCCTAATTGAGGTCTTGAAGATGACAGGAATCAACAGTTGCATATCTTTTTTGATACAGCTGAAAATCGGTAACATTAGTAAAAATGCGTGCATGGACTTTTCATCATCTTTGAAAGTTTCAACTCCTTGTTAACTTTCATTTGTCTATTCCCTCCTCCCTCTTATACTTCTGTCTACTTCAGTGTCATTCTTTGAATTACAGTTTCTCCTGAGTGTGGTGCTATGAAAAGCATAAAATTGAACCGATCCACTTTTACATAAGACTGCACGTGGGTTTCTGTATCTGTCTGATGATTTTCAGTTTCTTGCTTACTGACAGTTTAAGACTGACGAAATGGTGGAGCTTCATTCCTTCTGTAAAGCTATGGGAACTTTAGCCAGATGCATCACACTCATTTCACCGTGCATGGGCAGGTGAGTGTAGCCAAATGACCCGAGTACTTGGTGTATGTGGATGGGTTGAAGCCTGAAAGTTGACAGGGTGATCGGTTTGGGGGTGGTGGTGGTTAACAGAACCCTCCGGCGGGAGTTTTCGTTTTCATGTGAAAGTTTTGTTGAGGATATTTCTTGGTTGGCAAGGGTACTGATTCATCAGGCTGGGTTGGAACGTTCAAAGGTATAAAGACCGAACTGTAAGCTGGAGATGCTCCAAAAATTGAAGTGAAATGTCACAATGTAGTTTACAATACAGAGCGATAGTTCGAAATAATTTTCGACCGAGAATTTCTGATACATCAGATATTGGAAATATCTCTAATTCTTCTCTGTATTTCTTCTTAATTTTCTCCTACTATAAACAAAGTTAATGTTCCCATTGGTCACTAATTTACTGATCTGAGGGATACATTTGTGATCATTATACTCAAGGCGATGTGAATGCCAAACTTGGAGCGGACAATACAGAAATAGAACTCATCATAGGTCGAGAAGCACTTGGTGAAATGAATGAGAATGGAGAAATGTTTGCAAATTTCTGCGCATTCAACGATTTGGTGATTAGAGTCAGGTAGTGTGTACAAACACAAGGATATTCACAAAGCGACATGGATATTACCATATGAACACACTACACTAAAAATCAGACCGACTTCATCTCAGTCTCAAGAAAGTTGAGACGTAGCCTACTAGACACAACATGAAGAAGGGGAACAGATGTAGGTTCACACCACTCACTTCACTATCTACAGCAAGCAACCTACCTTCAAAATCAAGTTGAAAGCCTTCAAAGAAGCTGGTGATGATAGACCACAGTTCAAGTTGAACACCCAGAACAGAAGCTGAACTGAAGAAGGAAACTACAAAGGAAATCTTGATGTCAGTCAGCCATCAGAACAAAATGCGAGACATTGAACAACATCTCTGAAGGATCGGGTGTGGAAGAACACTGAAACCGTGCGAAAGAGACGTGAAAGGAAACCTGCATAAGGGTGTTAGGAAGGAAGAAGAAGAAGAAGAGTCAAGACACGGAATGGATCTCGATGGGAAAATGGAAGCTGATAGAGGAGGAGGGGGAGTGGGAGTGGGAGTGGGAGGTGGAGGTGAAGGGGGGAGGTGGAGGTGGAGGTGGAGGTGAAGGGGGAGGGGGAGGGAGAGGAAGATGGTGAAGCAGAAGATGAACCAGTACAGTGCAATGTAGGGATGAACAACGGAACGAGGAAGTAAACGCAACCTACAAAACACTACACTGGAGAAAGTGGTGAAGGAGAGTGCGTGCGAAGACAAGAGACACTTCTACGACACACTCGCAAGTGAGGCAGAACAGACTGCAGGTAAGAGAGATAGAGAATTGGCAACATTATATCAACTAACCAGATTACTTACTGTCTGGGAAGAAAGAGATCAACACAGCACAGATGAAAGGAATGAGAGATGGTGAAGGAAAGCTTGTTACACAAGGGGAGAAACAAAGGAAAGGATGGTGTGACCACTTCGTAAAACTCTTGAATTGACCACCACCTGCACTTCGTCCAGAAATACCACCAGTAGCCTAGACGCAGAGTTACCAGTGAACACAAGCCCTCCAACAGAAGCCGAAGTGAAGTCCTGAACTCCATAAAGTTACTGAGATTTGGGAAAGCAGTAGAACCGGATGGAATTCCTCCAGAAGCACTGAAAACAGAAGCAGAGACAACGGTGGATATGCACACACCACTACTGCAGAAGGTTTGGAAGGAAGGAAGGAAGGAAGGAAGGAAGGAAGGAAGGAAGGAGGGAAAGATAGCTGCAGGTTAGTAGGACGGCTACCATGTTAAACTCCCAAAGAGGTGTGACCTGTTTTTGGAAGAACTGGTGTGGAATCATGCCCCTGTCGCCACCTAGCCAAGCAAAATATTAAGCTGCATCATGCTGGAGGGAGTAAAAGATGCCCTGGATTCAAAATTACGACCAGAACAGCCTGGCTGCTGGCTGGCTGGCTGGCTGGCTTCAGGAAGAACAAATCATACGCAGATCAAACTGCAACGCTATGCTGCACATCATCACAGAACACAGTATAGAATGGCAGTCAACTCTACTCTCTGCCTCAACTTCATCGACTTTGGAAGGCCTTACATAACGTCGACTGAGAAGTGATTTGACAGGCAGCTGATCAACACTACGGACTACCACAAATCTCTATCAACCTCATTCAACAGCGATATGAAAACACCACATGCCAGGCGACCCATAATGGAAAGCTCAGTAACACCTCTGAAGTGAAGGAAGGGGACAGGAGTAAGACAAGATTGCCGCCTACTACCACTGATGATCTTCCTGATTGTGGTCGACTGGATCATGCGACAGACAACTGTGAGAAGCGAGGGGAAGAATATACGCTGACTGGACCGATGAAAAGACGCCAGAAGAGTTAAATTTCACCGATGATGATTTGTGTCTATTGTCTTGTCACACAAACTCGAAGATCTACAGGTAAAACCAACAAGTTGACAGAAGAGGCAGTGCAGCAAAGTGTGAACAACATGAGGATTTTCAACACGAATTCAGTCAATTCAGTACTTCTATGTGATGGTTGAGAGACTTGGCGCGTCACGGAAAGCATTTCCAACATACTAGAGATATGCATGAACAGCTGCCGCCTACACTCACTCGATACTGAAGATCAGATGGTGAGAATAACAAGAATAAGCGAGAAGAAACTCTGGCCGGCCGGCTGGCTGGCTGGCTGGCTGATTGGCAAGGAACCAACCAACCAGCCAAGAACTCATCGTTCAACAAATATGCAGGAGAAAGTGGAGATGGATTGGATTGGACATACAGTGAGAAGACCGACTGGGGAGATCACGTGCCATTTCAGGCTGTTGAGTGGAATCGTAATGGGAAACGACGAGTTGGGCGTCACAGGTGAGTGTGACATGGAGGAGATGGTGTGAGTAAGAAATGAAATGTTATGGTTATTGGTGTATCCAGTTTGGAAAGACTGCAGAGAATAGAGTGAAATATTGACGTGCTACTGAATCCGTATGTTCCACTAGGAACCCAATGGGAAGATATTACTAATAATAATAGTACTCGAGATATTACCTTACTCTTTTCTATGTGCATCTGGAAAACCAGACTATTTCATTCTTCATCACGCAAATGACCACATAAATTCACGTATATCTGTCGAATCGCAATAGATTTTTCTCTTCATTTGTGTGGAACAACGAAAATTTATATTGGAAAATTCAATTTAACTAAAGTATGAAAATAAAAATGGAGAAGAATTTTCCATTGCAGAGAAAGAAGTTAAATTTTCAAAATTTCTATGTAAAACACCTTTTCACCGAAAATTTTGGGATCAGTCAATCAATCAGTACTCACTAGCTAAGGAAATCGGGAAGGATTTCTTGACGTTCTGGTGGTAATCCTTGGTCTTTAGGGTCAATCAATCCGAAACTGAAAATGAATTATCATCAGTGGTATTGGGCATCGGTGGCTCCATAATGAGAACTGATTGAATTTGGAACATGGAGGCTTTTGGATTTCAACCCGTCTCTTGAATCTTAGAATTCTTTACGAGGAGTTCTACTGTCATGGAATTGATAGGTACTTGCAGCTGGTGAACTTATAAATAGGAAAAAACATATAGGTAATCATTCCATGTTGATATAAGTGTTTTTTCTTGCCCTCATCTTGTCAACGCCATCGGGACAACTTGAAACTGATAGACTAATGGTTTGATCATTATGAAATGAGTCTGTTTACTAAATTTAAACACTCAGTATTTGAGACATTTTCGGGCTAATAACTACACTATTGAAAAATTAAATAGTAGCATAAAGTCCTAAAACAAATGTTTAGTTGCTATTCTGTTTCACATGGGGATAAGATGAAAATGCAACCCCAGGGCATTTTATCACGTGGAAACAAGATCGTCAGATGAATGCCTCTTCGATAACGAAGAGTTTTCTGACCATCAATTTCCTTCAGATTTGACATTATGAGGAGACGCAGTTTGAATCCTGATTATGAGTATGAACAAGCAAATCGTATAAATGTTTCAATGTATTTTGGTTTATTTCACAGTTTCTTGACGAAGCCATAGTATGAACAGTGAGCGAATTGTCTGAATTAGGTCCAGGTCGCTTTAGATAAGTCACAGTTATAAAGACATCTGCTGTTTACATTGGTTGGCGTTTCGTTCGACAGATAAAAGAATAAAATATAGGTTTGTATTTGAAGTACAGGAAGTTAATTTTACTCCTTATTAAATCCTGATCTATATGTGCTTGTGTAGTTCTGTTGGTGGTAAGCACCAAAGAATCTGGGACTAAAGTCTGCATTATGTATTTAGACTGTTCTTTAGACTTCTAATGTTTACACTGGAGGTGGTAAAAAGGATTGAAATGTCTTTTTGCGTTACATGTAGTTTCGATGACGTTATTAGAAGACGAAGATTATCTGAAAAATGTGATATATTTGCGCAATACATTTCAAACAATCTGATCACACATTTACTTGTCTCAAGTCAATTTATGTAGGAAAATGTAAAGAAAAATTAAAGGTCAAACGAAATGAATATGAAAATATTGTGACACTGGTCTTGGTAATATAATCAGGTAAGTATTGCCAAGGTAAACTAAGTGAAACAACCAACTGTTTTTGTACACATTACAGGGTCATAAGTTTATGAATGGCTAATGCTTGGATAAATTTCAGTATGCTCCCCTGACTGTTCCTATATAATATCTTGAATGCCTTTTTCGTATTAACTCTATGATTCATTTCGATGATGCGCTTTGCTTTAGATGATGATGGATGTCTGTCACCTGCGCATATCAAAGTTTGTGTGTTAGACTGTTTTTCAAGTTATTTAGGTATATGTTCACTTACCATAGTCTGCATAGTATGATTACTTCTCCCTATGTACATGCGTCCACACATTGGTAAACACAGTGGGATATGATATAATCACTTATGTGACGTTAAGGTTTGTGGCAAAGCAGATGTTTTGTTGTCTAAGCAATGAAAAACTGAGCTGCATAGTATGTTTTACTAATAACATTTTATTTTCTACTTCAATATCCTACTACTCGTTTCCCCTCTGGGCGGTACTTCAAGACATATATCCTTCTTTGGGACCGAGGACATTAGAGGATTTAGGGTTAGCTATTTTCTACAATGGTTCACAAACTGTAATGAATGCCCGTTTTCCATAAATGTGTCTGTTAGAAATTTGCTCATGTCACCGATTGTATCAGGTGTACAAATACCTTGGATCCTATTCAATAAGTATCTTACTAAGCCTCTCCTATATTTCACTGGACAAAAGCTGTAGAAACTCAACTATAGTCCCTTCCAAGAAGGCTTTTTATAAGTTGATCGGCTGATGGACCCGTCCACCTTCCAATACAAGAAACGTTAGCCATTCGTAAACTTATGACCCTGTAATGTGTACAAAAACAGTTGGTTGTTTCACTTAGTTTACCTTGGCAATACTTACCTGATTATATTACCAAGACCAGTGTCACAATATTTTCATATTCATTTCGTTTGACCTTTAATTTTTCTTTACATTTTCCTACATAAATTGACTTGAGACAAGTAAATGTGTGATCAGATTGTTTGAAATGTATTGCGCAAATATATCACATTTTTCAGACAATCTTCGTCCTCTAATTACACTATCTAAATTCATAAAAGGGATTAACTGTTTCAAATATGTAGTTTGTTGACAAAAATGAACAGAAAAATTGAAGGATAAACGTTATGCTTCACTCCCTCAGGATTTACTGACTAATTTAAATGTAGGGCAAACAGGATAGTTTGATGCGAAGGCAGACTTTATCTACAGAATATACCATACATGCATAGTGATTTATTTGCAGTCTGAACACACATTATCATATCAAGATATTGGAAGTGAAAATTCTAGAAGCAATTAGGCAGTTAAAAAAGCGTGATTTTCTGATTTGCTTGTAACGCTGACTATGCATATGATTAATTCTGTGTATGTTACGTCTCGTTTACACATATCACCAAAGCAACTGGTCACCCAAATTTCACCCCGACCCCCGCTGTTAGCCTCAACACAAAATCCGATACACGCTTTTCTTATATATTACTAGTTTTAGCTATGGATTACATATCCATAATGCACTATAATTCATACAAATAAAACAGCTGATCACACTCACGGAAATCGAGATCATCCACAGTAATTGACTCCACTTAACATACAATTGTTTCGGAACCATGAGTCGTACGGAAACAAATGAGGACTCAATAAAAAGCTCTTGAGTTGAGTCAAAATATGGTGGTATTATAAAAAAAGGCTTTGTGAAATGTCTTTTAGATTTAATAAAATGGCATGCAGGATAACACCTTTCTAAGAATCATATTTTCCTATCTTCGATTCATTAGAGTGAGAACAAACTGTTCTTTATTGTAACTAGAATACAGGTATATCGAGGTATCCGCACAGGAGCCCATATGCCAATAGAGAGAGACCGGTCAATTCGGTCCAATCAACGATGGTATAATGCAAGCAATAACACTAAAACTATACCTGTCGCACAAAGAAGTGGCTATCGTGGCTCTGGTGAGTCGGAATCCCGGTGGGAACAACATCACTCATTGAGAGGCAGGTACATCCAGCTGACGAGTCCCAGATTGGACGAAGTGCGCATCCTGGATTCGACTGCTAGCCACTATCCATCTTTACTGTATTCTTGAGAATATTAAAAAGTATCAACTTTTCTTAAGACTACGGATTTAACAACACTGAATTGCATACTACTGGAAAATTTGTAGGTTGTGACTGTAGAGTCATTCTAAGGTTGATATTTTGAAGAGTTCGCTTAATGATTATTGTCTGCTGTATGGACTTATTAGGATTCCAGTCAGTCAACATTTCTGGGGAAATTTAAGCATACGTTAAACCATATGTAACTATCGAAACACGCATTTAAACTGATAAATGCATTACGATACAATATAGTCACCGCATTTATCATGTACATTTTGCTCTGTTATTATGTGTTGTGCAAATTTAAGGAGTGAACTAGTATTTGTCAAGTTGATCTACGCTACTTTGAATGAAACAATACTGATATGGAATAAATAAGAACAGTTGTTCAACTATAATCTTCGTTTATTTCAGGGATCCTCGATTGGAACGTCTTCTTGGTCCAACTATTTATAAGTCTAATCAATTCCAGGTAATTTGACATTTTTCAATTCAACATTAGTGTTAACAGGAGTGTGTGGAATTTAGAATCAGTGTGTAATCAGACAGGTTTACCAGTTGATAGTTTTATACTTCTGCTGTGAAATGAATTGTTTTATTCACTCAACGAAGAGAAAAAGAAAGCCAAGTGTGGAAAGAGGTGACTAAGCACTTCAAAATGATTTCAAGACTAGTCTCAGAGTTGACAAGAAGATCAGATGTATTGACTGGTTGAAGATTAGATGACACCACAACTACTCAGATTATTAACTTCGTCAGCAAGATGAATCAGTTGGTTACAGTGAAATTGCAACCAATGTTTCCTATGGCGACTAGGCTAGATGGTTATCAGTGTCCTTCATTGATAGGAAGTGCTAATATCTACAGGAGAATAGGCGTTTGTTACCAAACTTGCCGTCAAAGTATTACTCAGTGGATCACTAGGATACTTATGTAAAACTAATCCGTTGATTCACGGATGAGTGTTTCTTTCCTGTGATTCTGTTATCTTACTTAGATAAAGCATCTAGAAACCCCGACTAGAGTTGTGAATATCATATAGACGTGTAAATTATTCACTATGGTGATGTCTTCATGAAGTTATCAATACACAAACAGCATAGTAATGATTCACACACCAGTCAATGTGTTTAATTCATTCTCAATAGATTTTTAATGATGATAAGGTCTGTTTTCTCAACTATTTAATGATACTGGTAAATTCCACAGAAACTGAAACATCTGGTGTCCAAGCAGAGTAAATTCCGGTTAGGCTTTAGGTAGAATTTTGTGATCAGTAATCAAAAAAAGATAAAACTCGGGTACAAAAAGTGCTATAGAAGCTAATCACGAATAGACAGACGCACTCTCTTTACTCTGTGTTTTAGATTTGATAAGAAAAGCTACCGATCAATTCTGTCCTCATTTTAGGTTAAACAAGCAAGTAGATTACGATTATATTCTGTAGAACGTTTAGATAAATTGTTCATTTCACTACTGAATCACTTGATTGTCCTTCTCATGACTGATTCGTCTGTTTAACTTGATGATCTTATGAATCAACTCTGCATACTGCGTTTCATCCTATTTATGACTCATCAGCTGGATGTATCTGCACCCTAGTGATTTATGTTGTCCATATTGAGACTTGAACCCAGTACCCATCTCTTCAAACGTCAAGGCGTTATTCACTAGTACACTGAAATACAAGAGCCACCACTTATACAACGGGTATCAGTTGTTGCGTTATTGATACTTTAATTTCCCTTTACTATACTGGATGGAACTGCTCGACCTCTGTTCTATTTCTACGCGACTCCAGTAAAAAGATAACAAATCAGTGAGACGTGTTAATTGCTTATGGTTCTTTCAAATTTGGTGACGTCACAAAACCTAATGGTGAATGCTAAAGGTTGGAGAATATCATAAAGTTCATCTCTCCAGCTCCAACTGCAAACCTGCTCCATTATGTCATGGTACAATAGTTTTGTTAAAATTCAAAATTTCCTCTAACTGAATAAAGCTGCTTGCAATAATAATAATAATTCTACATGTTAGTGGAAAATAGGTAGGAGTACACAGTGATCAATGTCCAACCAGGATCTCTGTAATTGTGATTACTTTTAAGTTTGATAATATTGGCTAGCAAAATGGTAAAAATAATTGCCTAGTGAATGCAACACTACTACGAGTAGTGCAGCTGAGTTGTTAACGCGTTCACCCCAAGACTTGAATGTCCGGAGTTTGACCTCTGAAGAGATCGTGAGTGCATACTGTAGAACAGTTCTATATAAAGACGAAACGGGTGATCAATGTTCCCAGGTTTCCAATGGTTCTGCAACTGATGTCTGTGCTAGACATAAAAAGACTTTCCTGATAACTAATCTATTGGTCATCATCAGTGTTTGAGGAGTAAATGAATTTCAATTTTGGTGAAGGTTCAGTGCAACGAAGAGTGAAACGATGAATGAGAAAAGGACATTCAATAGGAGAGATCTATAGATCACTGGTTAATTAACGATGTAGATTTACGCTACTGTTTCATAACAAGTAGCTTTAAACAATTTGCGTAACGTTTTTTTCTCAGCTAGGAATTACGGTGGTCGAAGCACGAAAACTCGTTGGAACTAATATCAATCCAATGATTACTGTGACTGTTGGAAAAACGGTACAAAAGACTGTGATCAAATATTCAACAAACTGTCCATTTTATGACAACTACTTTGCATTTGATTTTACCCGACCTAAAATCAGTATACTCACTGAAGTGATACGCATTCGAGTAAGTTCCAATTACTATTTTCATTACAAAAACGTAAAACTTTATGAGTAGTCGACGATATTTCTATGTGATTTATGATGGTGGAAACGCTGTCTCTAGTGAATCTGATGTTCATCAATTTTTACCTAAGGCCTTTACCAACTGAGGCTTTTGTAGAAGTCCTCAAGTCTTAAATAATTCATTGTATGATACATTACACAATGAATCACGTGAACTCGGAGTGCAAGTTTTTCCAAACCATTTAGTCCATTGTTGGTCGTGACGGGTTCAAAGTCGTAAATAATGTCTATTGGTCTGGTATGACAGCACATATCAGTGAAATCTGCATCTGACTGGAATGAGATGGATTTAATTTCGTGATCTGCTTATACTCTGTACAAGTGACTAGCTTTTCATGGCAAGATACCTACAGGTAACAGTCTTTCACTCAGTCTCAAAGGTAGGTTCTGCTGGAGGGTTCTGATAAATATGAATACTAGGTCCATTGCTTTTTGAAGCATAGTATTCAGTATAGGCAATGCAAAAGTCAATGGACTTGCTGCTATGACAGAAACTGATAGGAATAAAGTTTTGAAACCAACTAGCATAAAATACTGGTCACTATGTAGCCTCCTGAATTTTGATGCTGAGTTAAAATGCACTATCGCGTATATGTGAGAAGAAGATAATTTGAAGAGACGAAAATGACTTTAGATATTGGCACTGAACAGATATAGACGTTCATATATATATATATATATATATATATATATATATATATATATATATATATATATATATGAATTTTTTTCCAGGAAAATCGGAATCAAAGCTAACAAGCGACTTCCCAACAATAAACCAAATGCTTGAGTTACACATTACATCCAAAACAGGAGATTTGTCTGAAATGCGATTCTATATTAATAAGTAATATTGAGATATAAAATACAAATCCTGAATCGTGAGGTATCTGCAGGTTTATAGCTATCAAAGCACTTGTAAAGAGTGTGTTAACAGTAAAAACAGCAAAGCTGTGTTCAGGAAACCAGAAGGAAATGTGAAAGACGTATATAAGTTCTCACGATAAGGTAAAGAGGCAAGATAACCAAATGTCCAAGGCAAAATAGAACATCAGGGAACAAGGGAAGAAATTACAACACCATCATGAGCTGTGAAACATACATATATCTATGGATGTTGACTGGTGAACAAGATACGACTGAATAAAATGAACAGCCAAGGATGTGGATGAAGCCACATTCTGAAGAAAAATGATTATACTACTCAAATTTTTATTATTTTATTTGTGCCTTGGGTTCCTAGTGGAACATACGGATTCAGTAGCACGTCAATATTTCACTCTATTCTCTGCAGTCTTTCCAAACTGGATACACCAATAACCATAACATTTCATTTCTTACTCACACCATCTCCTCCATGTCACACTCACCTGTGACGCCCAACTCGTCGTTTCCCATTACGATTCCACTCAACAGCCTGAAATGGCACGTGATCTCCCCAGTCGGTCTTCTCACTGTATGTCCAATCCAATCCATCTCCACTTTCTCCTGCATATTTGTTGAACGATGAGTTCTTGGCTGGTTGGTTGGTTCCTTGCCAATCAGCCAGCCAGCCAGCCAGCCGGCCGGCCAGAGTTTCTTCTCGCTTATTCTTGTTATTCTCACCATCTGATCTTCAGTATCGAGTGAGTGTAGGCGGCAGCTGTTCATGCATATCTCTAGTATGTTGGAAATGCTTTCCGTGACGCGCCAAGTCTCTCAACCATCACATAGAAGTACTGAATTGACTGAATTCGTGTTGAAAATCCTCATGTTGTTCACACTTTATGCTGAGTGCAGTAGATCTCCACACTGATTTCAGATTAATGAAGGCCTGTCTTGGTGTCTTTCCGATCCTGGCTGGCTTTGACATCCTCGTCTGTGCCACCACCTGTGGTTGAAACGAAGCTGTCTGGGCAGATAGGTGAAACAGATTACTTCATTTGGATTTCTCCCGTTGATGGTGATTGGTGTTTGTTGTTCATGTTGTTGTTTGTTGGTTGAGTATCTTCACCACCTCGGTCTTCTCCACGATCACCTGAAGTCGTGTCTTCGCTGCACTGCCTCTTCTGTCAACTTGTTGCTTTTCACCTGTAGATCTTCGAGTTTGTGTGACAAGACAATAGACACAAATCATCATCGGTGAAATTTAACTTTTCTGGGGTCTTTTCATTGGTCCAGTCAGCGTATATTCTTCCCCTCGCTTCTCACAGTTGTCTGTCGCATGATCCAGTCGACCACAATCAGGAAGATCATCAGTGGTAGTAGGCGGCAACCTTGTCTTACTCCTGTCCCCTTCCTTCACTTCAGAGGTGTTACTGAGCTTTCCATTGTGGGTCACCTGGTATGTGGCGTTTTCATATCGCTGTTGAATGAGGTTGATAGAGATTTGTGGTAGTCCGTAGTGTTGATCAGCTGTCTGTCAAATCACTTCTCAGTAGACGTTATGGACGGCCTTTCCAAAGTCGATGAAGTTGAGGTAGAGAGTAGAGTTGACTGCCATTCTATACTGTGTTCTGTGATGATGTGCAGCATAGCGTTGAAATTTGCTTCGCACATGATTTGTTCTTCCTGAAGACAGCCAGCCAGCCTCTTCCGGTCGTAATTTTGAATCCAGTGGATTTCCGTTTCAGTCTCTCCAGCATGATGTGGCATAATATTTCTCTTGGGGCTGACAGTAGCATGATTACTTGAGCTTTCTTGTAGAGGCTTGCATCTCCTTCCTTTGAGAGTTTGATAAGCTTGTTCTTCTCCCAATCAGTTGGCAGGTAACTTTCCTTCCTTCCTTCTTTCCAAACCTTCTGCATTAGTTGTTTGAGCGTGTTCGCTGTTGTCCCTGCGTCTGTTTTCAGTGCTTCTGGCGGGATTCCATCTGGTCCTGCTGCTTTCCAGAATTTCAGCAGTTTTATGGCATTCATGACTCCTGCTTTTATCGGAGGGCCTGTGTTCACTGCTAGATCTGCCGTTGCTGATACTACTAAAAAATATATATATAAAGGGGACGCTTTGGGCACACGCATACTTTGCTTGTAATGAAAATGATTGCGAACCTCAAACAAAGTGTGATCAAGTATTCTTCCTCTATGCTTAGAATCATGGCTAGTCGGACTATGTTCAGTTAGGTTGATTCCTATAGTACGCTTTCCATCTTACTTTTACTATTGAATTAATCAACTAGTGATAATTTTTAACAGATTGAATAAAATTTTGGGGAAAATTGATTACACTCTAGGTCATTAAGGCGGGTTATTGAAATGACTGCTCCATTTTAAGTTTACATCGGTGCTGCTTGCTAGACTGACGGTAAAATTGTTGATCAACATTTCAGTGGAATTTCGCTCAACATAACTAGCACAACTTCAGAATGAGCAAAATTGGTCATTGTGTCAGGTGTCTTTTCCATGTAATGTGTCACCTGTTCAATTGAATACATTGCTCATGAAGTGACTAGTTTAAATCATCGAAGGAAATCGGCTATCCTTGGGGTTTTTATAAAAAAGCATATGAGTAAACTGGATCAAGAATTTGAGGTAAGAACTATTGAAAATATAAAAAAATATTCATAAAGCTGCAGTTTAATCGGAATATATCTAGCGAGACCTTGTTCTTCTCACTAATCAGGACCATTAGAATAAATTTTCTTGTCACTCATTTCTGTCTATCATTTTCTAGTTGATGGATTGTTTAGAGTTAAATGCAGAACAAGATAGCAAGTCTCGCCAACTCCAACTGTATTTACCAAGTAAATTCCTCCTGTTGCAGTAGTTGTATCCAGCATACAACTGGATAGTATAACCAATGTATTACGGAACATCCAATTTCTTGGCTGGAAAAGGAATGGGGTTAGCTTAAACGAAGCTGTATTGAAGCGGTTCCTAATAGAACTTGATGTATAAGTCAGTGAATACTGTGGTTCGACATTTCACGAAACTCTCTTTTGCCGTAACTGGTTGATAGTGGCCACAGAGTGGACAAAACGAAAGTGTTCAAAGTGATTTACTGCCTCGCACTAAACTTTTCCGATGCAGTTGGAATCCGCATTTTAAACATAAGTGAGGTTGTAGGGATTCAAACGAACGACCCTAAACTTTGTATTCAAAAGTACATTTAGTAGCCTTTACTCTTTTTTTCATTTCATGCACTCACTTTATTTATAACCAAACTTTGGTTATTCACTCACTTCATCCCTAGTTTTCACACAAGCTTAGCATTCTGAACACCTGTTTATATTATCATGACGCTTGCAATATTCTTACAGTCACTTATACTACTCTTCTAAATTCCATAATTCCCACTTTTGTTATCGTTGACTAACAGATTACCTTGATTGGTTTGTTCTTTTATACATTTATGTAAGCGTATGTATGCAAAAGTAACTTCTGAGGAGATCTGGTCGAAAACAGTTTTTTTAAACTATGGATCTAGTTGTAATATACACTGGTTAGATAATGCATAATGAGCAGTTGACATGGCTTTTTAAACCACTTTCGATAACCCCCTTTACTCGTATTCACTGACAGATTTTTTCTTTGAACAGTTCAGCTAAGAGATGCTGATTCATTCTGTGCGAGTGATTGCTTTTATACTGGATGCCTTAGAGAAATGTCATCAGTGAAATTTTGTCTTAACAATTTGACTAAAGCTTATACAACTTGAAGTTATCGGTAAATTTCTCCAGCTAGTTGCCGTTTAAACTCACTAGTGTGTTCAATAAATCACTAGCCTTCAAAAGGGTTTATCTTGAATTAAGAGTATGCTTCGAATTTGGTCTAGTTACTGAGCCAGGTTACTGAAGCCGTCTTCGGGGACAAAATACAAGCGAATATAGGGAAGATGTTTTGATAAGGGAAAATATGAAAAAATATTGATCAGAACGATACGTTATTATGCGAATTTTTGAACCTATCAAAAAGCCTTCTGAATTGTGCATATTTACTGACTAGTCATTTTGACTAGGACTGACAACGTTTGAATTAGAGTCATGTGACTGACTTCTGTTTATTCACCTCCGGGAATGAAAAACAGCCTCAATAATGCCACATATTGTGGCCTTGATAGATATGGTTGAGGATGCGACTTTTCTCACCGAAGTTAACTTGTGTGGGTAAGTTCGAGCGTGTATGAGCGTTAATACTGACTAAGGATATTTCGTTAACTGTACACTACATTAGATGGTAGAATTCTTGACTTCAGCTGATTGATGACCATTTTGAGGCTTAGCTGAATGCATATGAAAAATTCAAACTCTTAGCTCACTTCCTCTATATTAGCTATTTAGTTCTAGTCTACAGACTTAAGAACCAAAATCCAGCTACATTCAACAATCGAAAACAGTCACTTGTATACAAAGATGTGGTCGAGATAAAGCAATCACAATCTGACCTTCAGATAGAAAAAAACAGCCAATCAATGATAACATGAAGGCTAGAAGGTGGTCAGCTGACTGTCAGAAGCTGGCGTAAGTTTAAAATATTATTTACTCTACCACAAACCATACCTGCCTACGGAATACTTACACCAGAATAATGCTACCAATCTTAATGTTTCAAAATTTTATCTTTCCTTCTAGAGGTGTAGCTTTCACGAAAAATTTACGTATACACTGCACTTCGGCCAACATGAGAACACTCAAGGATAATATTTACATTCAAGCAAGAGAATATACACATCTATCTGAGTAATTGTAGATTTATTTTCGAATGTTCCTGCAACCCTGATCTAGATATAGTATGTAACCAAACCTTTATACTCAATCAAGTGGGGATTAAGTAAGCCGAATATTTCTGTTGAGATTAATTCATTAAAAAAGACCCCAGAAAGTTAGTATTTTTTGTGTTCAACGAAGATGAATGGATTTCAGTAGCCTCTCTACTGACAACACATCAAAGCTAATACGATTTACTTATATACATGGATACTTTGAATAAACAAATGTACCGCCCAGTTCTTTGACTAAAAAAGCTTTTTTCTCTGTCTTACTTAATAGGCATTTAATATGAGATCACATCCTTTAGCACGTTTATTGCCCGGTAAATTGGTCGGTGAATTTGTTACAGACGTTCAGACAGTTTACAATGAGAGAGGTATGTTGTATACTTTGATTAAACGTTTACTGTAGTACTGTTTACTGGATGAAGTCCTTCAAGTGACATCTTACATGAGTGGTCAGATATCCTGATACAATGTATTTAATGTTAGGCTCATGGAGGCTAATATCAGAGGAACGCTAGATGACCGTTACACTCCAATGATAGATTAGTTTACTTTACTTACTTTTCCATTTGTAACTTCTCTGGTGAGTCAGAAAATGACTTTCGTTTTAATATCCGAAAAAAGGAACCTATTGCATATCTTGTAGATTGCTAGTAAACATATAACTGTCAAAAAATTAGTTACTATTGAATCCTTTCTTCGTTATTTTGAAGCTGCATCAAATTGAAAGTTCGTTCACTAAGAATATAGAAATTGCATTAAAATTGAGGAAATTTATTACACTTATCACTGAACGTTGATTTTCAAAAGGCCTTCGATAGCGTCGACGGAGAAGTAGTTTGGCAGGCAGCTGCTTCCATACTATGAAGTACCACAAATCTTTATCAACCTCATTCAGCAGCTATATGGTATGTTATATGATTCTACATGCCGAGTGATTCACAATGAAAAGCTCAGTAACACCTCTGAAGTGAAGAAAGGGGACAGGAGAAAGACAAGGCTTCCACCTACTATCACTAATGATCCTCCTGATTTCGGTCGACTGGAATGGATTGGACTGGACTGGGTCATGCAACAGACAACTGTGAGAAGCGAGGGGAAGAATATACGCTGACTGGACCAATGAAAAGACCCCAGAAAAGTTAAATTTCACCGATGATGATTTGTGTCTATTGTCTTGTCACACAAACTCGAAGATCTACAGGTGAAAAGCAACAAGTGACAGAAGAGGCAGTGCAGCGAAGACACGACTTCAGGTGATCGTGGAGAAGACCGAGGTGGTGAAGATACTCAACCAACAAACAACAACATGAACAACAAACACCAATCACCATCAACGGGAGAAATCCAAATGAAGTAATCTGTTTCACCTATCTGCCCAGACAGCTTCGTTTCAACCACAGGTGGTGGCACAGACGAGGATGTCAAAGCCAGCCAGGATCGGAAAGACACCAAGACAGGCCTTCATTAATCTGAAATCAGTGTGGAGATCTACTGCACTCAGCATAAAGTGTGAACAACATGAGGATTTTCAACACGAATTCAGTCAATTCAGTACTTCTATGTGATGGTTGAGAGACTTGGCGCGTCACGGAAAGCATTTCCAACATACTAGAGATATGCATGAACAGCTGCCGCCTACACTCACTCGATACTGAAGATCAGATGGTGAGAATAACAAGAATAAGCGAGAAGAAACTCTGGCTGGCTGGCTGATTGGCAAGGAACCAACCAACCAGCCAAGAACTCATCGTTCAACAAATATGCAGGAGAAAGTGGAGATGGATTGGATTGGACATACAGTGAGAAGACCGACTGGGGAGATCACGTGCCATTTCAGGCTGTTGAGTGGAATCGTAATGGGAAACGACGAGTTGGGCGTCACAGGTGAGTGTGACATGGAGGAGATGGTGTGAGTAAGAAATGAAATGTTATGGTTATTGGTGTATCCAGTTTGGAAAGACTGCAGAGAATAGAGTGAAATATTGACGTGCTACTGAATCCGTATGTTCCTCTAGGAACTCAAAGGATAATAACAAATATTATAATATCGTTTGACGATGGTCACGGTGGTCACTACAAGTTGACACAGAAGCTGGAAACTGTTAGCCGTTGGATTCGGCCCCGGTAACTGAGTGGTAGTCTACTCCCCATTACCTCTGACGGTCGTGGATTCTTACCCTTACGACGTTGTATGTGCACCCTTGTGATTCTGAATTTTCGTTAGTTCTCCGACTGATTTCAATCCTTTACTAAAAGCTTTAGGAACCTGCTGATTGAATAACTCTTTAGAAATCAGATTTAGCAAAAGAAGATACGCTTATCAGTGATGAGATAAAATTTCTACCGATTACATTTTGGAGAAATATTATTGGCTTATAAAGGACTGTGTTTATCTGTGCGTGATTGTGTGTGCCTGCAGGAACCCTTCGGTAACTAAGTGAACTATTCATACCGTCGCGATAACCGTTATCAGTATTAGCGGTTCTTTATTCAGTTTGCTGAGAGGATAGAAAAATTAGGATATTATATTTTCTCCTTGAAAAGATCTTTTGAAAGAATAACGTGGTCCTACTTTGTTTCGTCACCCTCTCATCAGCTGCCTACAACCGGAGACATTACGGTGTTCAGAATCTAACATGTTTGAATCAACTGGAAATAAGCTTGGTGAATAGCTGAAATCAATAGAATGTAGTGAGAGATAATAACAACTAATCGAAAGAAAGTAGGAAGGCATGTTGAAATATCATGATTATATGAACATTTTATGATTGCAACATGATGTTGGAGATGTATACTCATGGTGGTCACTTGGTGGAAGGATAAGAAATGTAAACTTCAGTCAGTTGTACTCAGTAAGTTGCACAAGGCGTGGCAATTATGACTCAGTAGATAAAACTCTGGTCTTTAAAGTGGAAGGTGTTTGTGCTTAATCTTAGTGGGATCATCAACACTTACTTGGATGCAGATACGCCCGATTGATGAGTCCTAAATAGGACGAAGCATGTATCTTGCATTCCACTGCTAACCACCGTCATTTAAAGTGTATCAGTCACAACGAAGTATGCATGGTCTGTGAAAAAATGATGTAGCAAACTAAGTAAGAAATTAAAAACTATTCAATAAGAAAAATGATTGAATCAGATAAGGTTCAAAGTTAACGAATTCGTTTACGAAGGTGGAGAAGAAGAGATACTGATAACAGTTTGATTTTAAGCACGGAAATTACGCTTCAAGCATTTATCGGTTATGCCTTCAAAAAATCTTTAGAAACTAAATCCTTTCACTTTCTGCATATTATCTTGAAGCATTTCAACACATTGACCTGATGTCCTGTACCAAATAAATAATGAGATTGCATTGTTTATGTCAGAAATCACTTCACTGTCTGTGAGGACGCCAGCGGCCGAAACTGCCTGTTCACTGTTGACTTAGAATGATGCCCATAGAAAAGATTCTCGAAAACATACTAGATATTTAACGTACATTTTCATCTCAATCAGTATAACTTGTAGACTTAAAGCTGACAGTCACATGAATTCCTTGTTAAAAAAAATAATAACAGAGTGACGACTTTTAGTTTCAGTTTGAAAGTACGCAGTCTCACCGTTGGACATTATGACTTCAGCACAAAACCCATCAGGATCAACAATGGTGACAAGTAGAGGAAAATTGATGTGCGTTTATTAGTTCGCTAGCTGCAACCGAAGCTCATATGTCATCTCACAGAAGGCAATGGTATCGATAAAGGTGTTTTCTGATACATTTCTTATGAATTGTTGAAATAGTAAAATCACACTTTCAGAAAACTAATGCTGAATGTTCAACCAGCCACCATGAAACAAGGATTATTTGTAGGATAAATTGTATTTCAAGTTGATGTTCATAATAGACTAACATCAGTTGAAGGGAAAAAACTCAAATTGAATTAATCTAGAGCTCATTGGTGACTCTTGAAATTCCAGTGAGAAGTCCTAACTGGTGGGTCAAACCTGGTCGATGTGACGACAAATACTCACGATAACTTTAGGTGACGGTCGAGCTACTTCATGAACTGACAGAAGTAGGAAATGCAGATCACTGGCACTCTCCCCAGTGGCTTAGTGGTAGCGCGCTGGCCGCAGAATCTGAAGAATATGGGTTCAATCTGTGGTAGGGTCACGGTTGCGCATTCATGTCAGTTCATGATGGACGCCAACTTGAAATCCGTAAGTGCCCGCAAACCTCCAAGTTGAATAAACCTTGCTTTCCTAATAACACCTAAACAAAACAGCTGTACTATACAACTACACCGAATTTCATTCCTCTAATTTGTCTTTCTTAGTAGACAGACGTTAATGAATCACCGCTGTCAAAACAAGAATTTACTAACAGTGTTTAATTTATCCGTAATTTTCTTCTTAGATCGGAGCTATTTTGTGAGCAGCTGAACACCTTCCAGTCTATTCTTAACTTATGACGCTTAGACTTGAAGTCTACTCAGTATATTCTTTGCATGCTTTACATATTATTTCGAGGTTTAGTAGATTAAAAGCATAATATCACTTAGATATCTAATGATTCAAGGTGTTCAACAGCTCTTCAACTGAAAGCCGGAAGCCTGTAGGCGGTAGGTGCTTTGTAGCTGCCCACATCATAGCAGATCACTTCTTCTTGAGGTACCTGTAGAAGAAAGTGTATTAGTTTTATTTGACAGTAGCCCTCAAGTGATATCTTCCTGAGACCAGCCACATATAGCCTGACTATACGACCTTCGGACCAGAAAAATTCATATTACTAGCACCAAAAAACTAGGACGAGGAGTAGTGATTTTCAGGGTTGACCTCTTCTAAACCCATCCAGTCAACAGTTTAGCTTTTAACTCTGACTTTTAAAGTAATTTAAGCTATTTACCGTAGGAACGTAATTCCTTCTGGTACTTTTCTGATAAGGTATGACCTCAGAGAAAAATTGTTCCAGTCAGTACAGCTTGTAGGGTTATTGGGAAAGGTAAGCTATAGACCATCACGTCAAGGTAGTAGCCATCAACCATGGGTTCTCTAAATAGTATTCAATGGAAATGAGAAAGCACGTTTCGTTCAGTCAAACCACTGAAGCCGCCAAAATCTTTGAATTAGTTCGGAAACCTGACAACTCAATAAGTAAGACAAAAATGCAGACAAAAGTAACCAACTTTGGATGAATATCACGTCTTTAATTCATAAATAAGATGCATAACACAAGTAATCAACCTTCATAAGAAAATTATGTAAGATGAAATGATCTCACAGTTGCGAGACTATCCATGCAGACAATCTTACAGACGAACGGATCAACAAAGAACCTAGCACAGAAGTGCATACCATCAAGTTGCTACAATTCATAGCAGCACGCAGACAAGAAGTAGATAGAGAAAGTGGCATGAATGAGAATAAATATAAGAAGGTTAATGAAAATATTCAAGGATTCAACAATGACAAAGATTGCATACGTTTGTACCATCATGATCGTTTTTGAGCCATTTCACAAAATGTCTCCAGCCATTGATTCTTATTATCTGAAGGACTCCGAGCTAGGTATTTTGCACTTTCTTAAACGGCTCAGACCAACAGTAAAAGACTTCATGAACTGATGTAATGTCTCAGTTTGACCATACTGAGCCTTCTTCCTACGCAATCCTGACTCAACTAACGTTGTCCATATGGGTCGAGGATGGCTGAGCCTATGCAACACGTGCCCAAGCTGCCTCAGTCGGGAAAGAGTTGAAAATTCATGAACTGAATTACCTTCCTCACCTAGTATCGTGTGCCTAACCTCAAAATTCCACATACAATGAGTCTGTCACCCCCTGACAACGTTATGAAGACACTTGTGACGGCAAAGACCTGTAATATCTTCCTGTATCTTCTACTTTAAAAGACAGTATCTAACCGTGGATAACAGGATAGAGAGGATTTTTGCACTGGTCCTTTCAATAGGTAGTCAAATATCTCTCAAGCAACACAGTTCACGTAAGTAGTCAATTACCAAACGGTAATAAATGTGGTCAGCATATTCTACAACTTCAAGCCTTAATTCAAGATTACTGGTTGGTACAGACGAATCCTGAAGCACGTTGTTCTATATGACAAGTGTAAAACACATGACAGGCATACTGAAACTTCTGCTAAAGACTTTTGGACAACTCTGAATTTCAGTGTTGTTGCTTGTATCATTCCATCGTCGTCGAATTGATCAACCCCTGTTGGCATACGGGCTCCTGAGTGAATACCTTGACATTATCTGTGTTTCACTTACATAGTAATGATGGATAGTGGGTAGTAGTGAAATCCAGGATGCTAGTTTCGTCTTATTTGGGACTCATCATCATCATCAACATCACTCACTGGTAGGTAGGGACATCCAGTGGATGAGTCCGAAATAGGACGAAACGCACGTCCTGGATTCCACTGCTAGCCACTATCCATCATTAACTATGAGGTTTTCCAGCGTTCTCGTCTAGTCAAGTGTAAATAACCTATCAAAATGTTTAGCTAACCAAGAGTTAATTCCTTTTAGATATACAAATGAGTTACCATTCAATAACCAGCTGATGATCATGAAAATATATAATTGAAGAAATGCTAAATAATCATTAATTCAAGTGACTCATGTAGTGTATTCTTGCGTGGATTTCAGAAGGTGGTCTTAACAAATTAGCAATGATCATTTAAGGAGACGTGAAATATCAGGAATTTTAAATCACTTGAAGCCCCTATCATGCAGCGCTATTAACATGCGTTTTTTGATCATGGTTAGCTGAAGACTACACAGCATCATCATTCTGCTTACTGGTCACATTGACATAGATGGAAGGCGTATTTCACCTAAGTTTCGTTCTTCCTGGTACTAGTCAGCAGGGCATATCTGCAACCTCATTGGAAGTTAAATCCTCCCCCTCTGGTTAAGGAAACCCTTGAAGTTGATTGCCGTTCAACAATCAATTGTCATCAGTACAATTTAAGTTCAGCTCTTCAATTAAAACATTTTGAATTCAGTGCAGGTACTTACTCAATAAACCTTGACTTTTAGTAATTTTTAAGAAGTAAACCAAAAAAATTCAGGATGAAATGATCTCAGAGTGGTCCATTTTATTGTTTTACTAAGCTAAAAAAAGTTTTGTAAAGTTTTGCATTATTTTAAAATATTACACGATCCTATTGATGCTTCTTTGTTTTGTATTTCGATACAGATCATTCCGTACAGAATAAATGGGCAGTACTTATTGATCCAAAAGATCCTTGGAAAGGTCCTACAGGATATGTTAAAGTTGATATGCACGTGGTTGAAGAAGGACAACAAGTTAAAGTAATCATTTTGGTCTTTATCTTTCCAATGAAAGTAAACCAAAATAAATTTGTTTCAGCTGACTTTTAGATATTTAGTACTAATAACTATATCAAAGTTATAGTAAATAGCAATTTACAATATCCAAACTTATATATAACAAGTGTTCTTCTGCGTAAATGCTTCTGCCTTGTCAGAATTGTAGAATAAAGATGATATCCAGACTTAGTGTATCGTGTGTGAGGAGTGTATGAATTACAGATTGAGATTTGTGCGTACGCACATGCGTTGGTAATACTTATCTCATCCATGTATGTTGGCCATGTTAGTATGTGGAGATGGTTTGAGACCAGGTCAAACTACGTTTTATTCCCTCATTCCTATTTAGATTATTTTGATTCCACTTAATGTGAAGAAATTCTACTGTGAAACTTTCTTTATAATTTCTTAAATCTTTCTGAATAACTTCGATATTTGAAGGTATCCTGACCAACAATGGACTGGATAGTTTGAAAAAACTTGAGCACCGAGTTAGTATGATTCATTGTATAAGGTGTATTTTTATTTGTGTAATCCTGACGTAGTATATTAGAACAAGTAACAAAATAAACAAATAGTTTGTACTATTCCTCAACGTTTCGATTTTGCTAGGAAGATCCTTTTCTAGAGTATCAATCTGAGACATTAAGTTTTCAGGTTAATATCCAAGTTTTGGTACAGAAGGTGGTGACCTTTACAATTACCCAATTACATCGTGATATGGAGCAAAGATGGATGTAATACAGGTGAGTAAATAAGCAAATCGGTCAGAGAGGTTTTTCAGTTGTGCGAGTAAGGTGAAACAAAAACAGGGTGGGGAAAATTTTTAGTTCGTCTATGGAAAGTACAGTGGGTTGTGAGGCCTCAAGGGTGAGAAAGAATAGATTACTTGTTTGGAAAGATGAGTATTTGAATATCAGACAATATATGATAAATATATAATAATAATGATAACGATAAAAGTATTTTTGACAACACTTGAAGTAGGAGTGATAACAAAATGGATTGTTATTAATAGAATGGGTCATAGAATGTATATAAATCAGAAAGGAGCGTAAAATTGATGAAAACAGTAAATTAGTGGAGTGTTATGTAATAGGAATAGACAAGTTGTTAAAATACAACCAATATTTTTTGACGTGATTAAGATGATTGACAGAAATAACACCGGAAACTATTCAAGCAAAAGTAAATTCGGAATAAATCATGTGGAATGAAATTGTGTTTTACTTTCTCTTCATATATTATCTACAGCTGCCTATGCAAGTCATTAATGTTTACCATATTATTGGGATGTCTAACCCATCATTTCTGTTGACCGAAGAAGGATACGAACAGATGTGCAAAGTATAGTAATGATGGGCAGTGGCTAGCAGTGGAATCTAGGATGCGCATTTTGTCCTATTTGGGACTCGTCAGCTGGATGTGTCTGCCTCTCAGTGAGTGTTGTTCCCACCGGGACTCGGGAGCGATCGCTTCAAACGCCAGAGCGTTATCCACTACACACCAAGCCTGTCACCCTTACTATAAATAGTTAAAAGGACAGGCAATATCGAGGCATCCGCATAGGAGCGCATATGCCAACAGAGACTGATCAATTCGGTCCAATCAAGGACGGTGTAATACAAGCAATAACACTAGATGTGCAATGCTTCTGCAATGGCCCTCTCTTTGTGAGAAACAAAACCCTTTTGCAGGACTTTCATCTGTTCGAATGATATTTTATGACCTGAATATAGGGCATGAACCGCTATGGCAGGCTTTTTTCAAGTTTTTCTAGATCATAGGAATTTTTTGGTGGTTTCTTGGAAGTTCGATCGTGTTTGGCTAGACGTGTTAGTACTTGACTTGATGTCTCTCCAATGTATGTGGCATCTCATTCACTACAGTCTACCTTATAAACACAGTTTTGTAGTTCCAAATGAGCAATCGGATCTTTTAATTTACACAGGTGTGAGTGCAGTGTGTTCGTCACCTTACTCTGATGTAACTATTAGGGATACGTCTTATTTCCTTTGAAGTGGCTTGGCTTTTTCCTATCTTTATTCGACAAACTTTTCCCGATCCTTTTTAATGGTTTTTCCGGATAGTTATTTTGTTGCCTATCTGTTTGCTGAGACTGCACGTTATTTGCTATCCTTTGTGATCTCATCAACAGATTTTTGGCAATGTTTAACTTAGTTTCCAATGGATGAGCGGAATAGAAGTCAAGGTACTTGTTAGAATATGTATCTTTTCGATAAACATCAGTGTCAAGTGTCCCATAATTGTTTCGTATCGCCTTGCAGTCTAGGAAAGCCAG